ACTCTTCCTCTTCTACCTACTGACTTCCCTGGCTTCCTCTAAATGCCAACTAAAATCCCATTTTTTTTTACTGTAAACCTTTTCCAACCCCTCCTAATTACAATGCTTTCTCTCTGCTAATTATTTCCTATTTATCTTGTGTGTAGCTGGCTTTGTATATTTTTGTTTGCTTGTTGTCTCCCCCATTAGATTGTAAGCTCCTTGACAGCAGGCACCTTGAGGGCCTCTTTTTGTATCCTTAAAGCTTAGCACAGTGCCTGGAAGATAATAGGAGTTTAATAAATGTTTATTGATTGATTGATTCAGGGATACAAGTACAAGTATCTGTTACTTCCTATTCTTACGATAGGACTGGCCCACTTCCATCGTTGACCATATATGCTTGATAATGTCTTGGGTTAAATTCTCCCACTTGTCATGAAGGGGTTAGGTAGACTTTGCATACCTCTGATTTATCTGGCCTACTGCCCTCCAGCCAGGTGGAACCTAGGAATATCAGTATATGACATCCTTTAAGTGTGGCCCCTGGCTCCCTTAATAACACAAGGCATTGGACCTTAAAATAGTTTTATTTAGCAAAATGAAATGCAGGCCTGAAGACTGGCTTTTAAAATATAGAGTTTCAGGGGCAGTTCAGTGGCACAGTAGATAGAGCTCCAGCACTGCAGCCAGGAGGCCCTGAGTTCAAATCTGGCCTCAGACACTTGAAACTTACTAGCTGTGTGACCCTGGGCAAGTCACTTAACCCTGATTGCCTCACCAAAAAAAATAAAATGAAATAAAATATAGAGTTTCATCATCAAAAGGTCCATCAGGGAGCTGTAGAATCCCCAATTTATAGTGCTATTCTGTGTGAGGCCACAACAAGGGAGGACTCAGGATTTGCTCTTCCATGCTGACACCCTGCTCTGCATCACTCTTCATTAATATCTCTCCTCTAATGCTGCCGCTCCCTGTCAGTGCTGCATACCCCATTATTCCCTTTAGGGCAGCTCCCCTTTGATCAGTGCATTGCCACTTGTGCTTAAGCCATTCCCCATTTCTGATGGCGGATGTGGGCTCCTCTCATTTTGCTCTCACTGTCTTCCTCTGCTCTGCTTTGCGCTCCCTCCTGTCCAGATCCCCTTCAGGGGTTGGTGCCAGACCTGGAGCAGTTGGACTATTGAAGAATTATAATGAAACCTCAGTTGATCATGCAACAGCTCTTCAAATATCAGAAATCAAGTGCCTCCAGCCCATTATTTCACACTCTGTTTCCATAGCCCCATTCTCTAAACAAGGAGTCTCCTTACATGGCTGTGGGATTACTGCCTCCCACTACACACCAACAAAACAAGCCCACAACGTTTTCCTCCTCTTTCTCCCACTGTTTAGGTGGTATGCCCTTCATCCATGTCAACCCAGTCTTAGAAATTCAAAGGAATGCTACCCCTTCCCACACATCCTCTCTGTCTCTGTCTTTCTCTGTCTTTGTCTCCTCCTCTCCCTCTCTGTCTCTGTCTCTGTCTCTCCATATCTCTGTCTCTGTCCCTCTGCCTCTATCTCTTTATGTCTCTCTCTCATTGTCTTTCTGCATCCTATATTCCTACAGAATAAGGCCATGTAAATTACCTCAAGACTATGTCACAAAGAAGCCACCTGCTCCAAACACCCTATAAGTAACAAGGAGGAAGCAACCCCTCTTCACATCTTTTGTGCTATTTCCAAAGAGCAAGTCATTACATTGTTGGAAAATTAGTGGGTTTATTTTTTGTTTCATTGCTATCTTTTACTTTTGTATCACTTTCATTTTCAAATTTCCTTCCTTTCTCAAGGAGTCATTCTTTGTAACCAAAAAAGAAAATTAAAAAAAAACAACAATTCAATAATGCATCAACTGAGGCAAATGGTATATGCATCGTCATAGACTCTCACTTATGCAAAGCAGGAGGAACATGCATTTCGCCCCCTCTTCTCTAGGGCCGAGCTTTGTCATTACAGTTACACAGTGTTCAGGGTTAGTTTCTTTGGGGTAGAAGGTGTTGTTGCTGTTCTTTGCATTTATAGTTTTTCTCATTCTGATTACTTTATTCTGAATCAGTGCATGCAAGTTTTCCCAAACTTCTCTGTATTCTCCACATTCATCATTTCTAAAGGCACAATAATATTCCACTACATTCATATCTCACAATTGGTTTAGCCATTCCCTGATCAAAGATAATCAACTTTGTCTATAATTCTTTGCTACTACAAAAAGTGGTGCTATGTATATTTTGATTCCTATGGTACCATTCTTTCTTTGCCTACTTCAAGGAATATATCTAGCCATGTGTCAAAGTATTTTGGTCACTTTCTTCACGTAATTCCAAATTACTTTCCAGAATGGTTGTACCAATTAGTCTAATTCTACCCATAGTTCATTAGTATACCTAACTTTCTGCAACCCCACCAACATTGACTATTCCCATCTTTTTTTGTCTTTGTCAGTTTTCTGGGTATGAGGTAAAGCTATAGGGTTGTTTTGCTTTGTATTTCTCTTGTATTATTAGTGATTTGGGACAATCTTTCATAAGACTGTTGATAATTTGCAATTCTTCTTAGAACTGTTTATCTCCTTTCACCACTTGCAATGCGGAAATGGCTCTTGGTCAATGTGTTAATTACACACACAAACACATACTCATATGTATAAATGTATATGTATATGTATATATGTATATGTGTGTATAGGATATTAGATACCTATCAGAGATGCTTGGTGCAAAGAATTTTTCCCCAGTTTATTACTTCCCTTTTGATCCTTGTAACCCTAATTTTTTCTCATATTTTCTAGTTTCATATAATTGAAATTGTTGTTAATCTTTTGTGATCTCTATTCCATGTTTGTTTAAAAATTTTTCCCTGACCTTCTACCCCGGCCACAGTCATAAAAGGTACCAGATCTCATTTTCTTCTCATTTTTAAATGGTGTGACCTTTAATGTTCAGGTCATGTTTGCAATAACATCGCAAAAATGAATAACTTTGAAAGACTTGAGAACTCTGATCAACACAATGACCAACTATGATTCCAGAGTACCAGTGATGAAGAATACTACCCATCTGCTGAGAGAGGCAATATGCTAAATGTGCAGAATGAGAAAAACATTTTTAGATAGCTGATATGGCTATTTGTTTTGTTTTACTATGTCTTTTGTTAAAAGAATTTTGTTTTCTCTTTCTTTCCTTTTTTTCAGCGACGGGATATGAAAGGGAGAAAAAATAAGTGGTTTTTAATTTTTAAAAGTTTAATAAAAAATTCAGATCACACATCCACTATGAACTTACTGTAGTATATATTGTAGGATGTTTGTGTAAACCTAATTTCGGCCAAACTGCTTTCTAGTGTTCCCAGTTTTTCTAGTTTACTTGTCAAATGGTAAGTTCTTCCTAATGTAATTTATACTCTTGAATTTACTGAACACTGAATTATTGAGTTCAATTATTTCTAATTCTTCCTTATCTCATTGTTTCCATGGATTTATTCTTTTTTTTAACTCATACCAAATAGTTTTGGTGATTGCTGCTTTATAAGATCTGGAAGTATCACTGGGGATAGAAGTCTTAGAAAACCTATGATAATCATTGTCAATCAGAGGAGATGACAATAATTATTAGGTGTTTAAGATTTCTTTTTTCTTTGGGGGGGTTCAGAGGTGGGGTGAGATATTTTAAGCCCCTGTTTCCTTGTAGTTACATAGCAGCCAGAACATTTAGAAAACCTTGAAAATAGTTATGTGGTTGTTTTACAGGTAGCAGGAAAGAGAAAAAGTGGGAAATTGATTCACATCCCACAGTTAGCTTAAGAGGAGGGGAGCCCAGGTCAAAAAGCTGGACCAGACAACCATGCAGACAGGTAAATCAAGCCATGGGGCTCACAAGAGAGAATAAAGTGGAGCATGGGCAACTGACCTGGAATGGAGGAGTAATTATAAGGTTTTCATTCTGGCAACATCATAGAAGGATCAGATTTAAAGTTGGGAGCAATCTTGGAAATCTTCAAAGAGGCAGCTAGGTGGTACAATGGATAGAGAGAGTTGGCCATGGAGTCAGGAAGATCTGAGGTCAAATCTGACCCCAGAGAATATCTCAGTAGTTCAGATCAGGTCTCACCAGCTGTGTGATATAGTACCTGAGCAAGGCATTGATGCTCCATCTGTCTCATCTGAAAAATGGGAATAGTAGTAGCATCTAACACAGCTGTTGTTAGAATTAAATGAAATCACATTTGTAAAGCATTTTGCAAATCCTGAAAGTGCTTTGTAAATGCTATTTTTAAAAATAATTTTATAGATGAAGGAAGGAAGACCCAGAGATGAGAAGTTATTTGTTCCATGTCATGTAGGTTTGCAATTGTTCAGTTGTGTTTGACTCCTGGTGACCCCATGTGGGGTTTTCTTGGCAAAGATACTGGAGTGGTTTATCATTTCCTTCTCCAGCTCATTTTGCAGTTGAGGAAATTAAGGCAAATAAGGTTAAGTGACTTGCCCAGGGTCTGGGATTCAAACCCAAGTCTTTTGATGGCAATGTTAGTGCTGCCTGCTGTGCCCCAAACCAGACCACTGGGAAGTTTCCAGGGACAGTAGGCTCTCCTGACCCTCCCAAAGTGGTTAAAGAACTAACTGGTGACCACATAGACTGCCTGGTAAATATCCAATGGCCCTTTATAAGTGGCCCTAAGTCCTAACACAACCTGGTCATTCAACAGCAATTTTAAAATAATAACCTGCTTGAGGAATTAATGGGGAAAGTATTTTCTTTTAACTATTCTTATTCTTACTTCCATGAAGGAGATTGAAATATGAGATGCATTTTTCTCTTGACACATGCTAAAGTTCATACAAATCTCATAGTCTTCAAAGAGGAAGTAATGAGAATGTCCATCTGGAGTCTGGACAAATAGGGAACCACCTAGAGACTTCCGGATTGGTACTACTAGGAAGTGAATAATAGCATACCATATTTGGAGATGAGTATCAGTGCCACCTCCTTCTCCTGCTATATAGTTGTTGAGTTGCAACTGATAATGAACCAGTTCTGTGGGGAGAATTTTACTTCTTCTGGCTCCCAAGGCAACCTGTTACAACAACAAATAAAAGGTAAGTGGTAACAAACCTAGAGATTGGCAACAGGACTACCTGGTATCCCAAAAGGCTAAGGCAATCTCAGGCTCTGTTGCCAGATGGAGGGATGGTATCCAGAATGAAGATCATAGTTGCACTGTTTTCTGTTCTGGTCAAACCATAGTCAGAAGATTATATGTAGCTCTGGCAATGTTTGAGTAAGGGTATTAACAAATTGAAATATAGGTAAAGCTGTTTGAGGAGGAATTTGAGGTGACATAAAACTACGTTATTCAAAAATCCTTTGAAGAAGTAGGGATGTTTAGTGTAAAAGGAGAAGGTTCTAGAGAGACAGGCTAGCCATCATCAACCATTTCTAGGGCTGTGATATGGAAAAATAAATCAGTTTGTTTTGCTTGGCCCCAAAGGGAAGGGCAAGCAACAAGGTAGAAGTTTGCTGATTTTGGTTCTATATGTAGAAAAATTTCCTAACTTGTCCTAAAGCACTCTGGATTGCCTTGGAAGGTAAAGAATTCCCTTTCTCTGGAGATCTTTAAGGAGAGGTTAGATGATCTCCCATCAGGGATCTCAGAGAAAGGATTCCTGTGCAGGGATGGGTTGGACTAGAGGGTTGCTGAGGTTCCTATAAGCTCTGAGGTTCTATCAATCTATCCTATATGCTCCAGAGGCTTATTGCTTGTTTCAAATGGATTCTCTCCCTTTGGAGAAAACCACAGAGTGCTTCAGTTTCAGTTCTTACTACCCATAACTGACAACTAGGTTGGTGAGAGCCTTTTGTTCTCTTCTGAAAAAGTGCAATAATCCTCTGGGAAGTGGATCTGTATTTGTGTTTTCAGCTATTGGGGGAAAAAATGGTCCTTTGGCTGTTTTTCTTTTTTTTTTTCCCCAAGTCCTTGTACTTGAAAAAGGCTTACTTTTAAATTCTCCTGGAAGTTTTTTATGCAAATGGTTGTATAATGGGTCAATTATCTCATTATTAATATTTATCCTGCCGAGTGGGTGCAGAATCATTATGTGGGGTGTGACCGCCTATTTCATCTTTTCTGAGGTACATGAAAGTAATTTTCATGTCTTGGTCTATAGACATCCAGTCAGTTTTCACCTTGATTAGAGGTTTGAAGCCCCTTGGTAAATACTTCAAGAGAACTGACATTTATGTGTATTCTCATGAGTCAAACGGATTGGAATGGAAATGAATGCAATGAACCAAGGCAAAACCAAGGCGGGGAGGCTGAATGCTGTTGATAAACTCTAGCTTCTCCCTCCATTAGTAAACACAGGGAAGAACTTAGAGAGAAAACACTTTCTCAAATGTCTACTGACTTATCTGAGGTCAATCCTCACTAGCCATCATTAACCCTGGGTACATCAACTAGATATCTCCAGTCCAACACAGATAAATCAAGCCCAACTTTGGAGTTCTGTGATGCAGTTTGCTAAATATCAGCCATGTTTCCATTTTGCCAGAATACAAAATACTGGCCCAGGAAGAAACACACAGGCATTCCACAAAAGGAAGAATCACCAAACACAGTAGCGGACTTCCACCCTCCAGGACCTCAGCATTTTATAAGAAACATGACTCTGCTATAACCTTATGTTCAATGGATTGTGGTCCTGGTTTCTAATAAGTAGCACGAAAATCTTGTATGTTCTTAATGAAGGGAAGGTAGGTAGCTCTGTGGACAGGACACTGGGCTTGGAATCAGGATGATATGTTCGTGAGTTCAAATCTGTTACCCTTGGCAAGTCACTTAACCCTGTTTAGCTCCATTTTCTCATCTATAAAATGAGCTGGAGAAGAAAATGGCAAACTACTGCAGTATCTTTGCTAAGAAAATCCAGATGGACTGAAACAACTGAACAACATATTCTTTAATGGTGGCTATAGCTGGCTAAAAATAAAGCTAGAGGTATGGGGGGAAATGGCCCATTCACGAGGTGGCAGCTGAATTCTGATGCTCTGTAGCTATTCTCAGGAAGGATTTACCTTCTCCTTGCCCACACATATCAGTGGTATCCATTTTAAGAAGGACATTGACAAGTTGGGACTCAACAAGAGGAATGAGAACAAGATGGTAGAAAGAATGTAGTCCATGCCATGAGGAAATCAGTTGAAAGAAAAGAGGATAATAGCATGGCAAAGAGAAGACTTAGGGGGCAGGAGAGATCATAAGAGCTGTGTACAAATATTCAAAGATTATTATGTGGAAGAGAGAAGTAATGAGTAGAAGTTGCAGAGAGAGATTTCAGCTCAATTAAATTAAACAATTACTCAATATGTGCCATGTATAAGGCTAGATGTTAGGAACACAAGACAAAAATGAAACAGTCCTTGCCCTCAAGGAGCTTAAATTCTATTTTCTAGTAAGTAAGGCTATCTGAAAGTGGAAGGAGCCATAGTGAGAGACAGTTAATTCCCCTGCTAATGGATGTCTTTTTTTCCTGGGTATTTAATAATCAATTTATTAATTATGGCTAGCAAATAATCAGTAAATTGAGATCAGCGGTTCTCTCAGAAACTGAAGACCACACTCCACACAGAACATTGAATGCTTAAAAGCCTCTTGGAAAAGGGGGTTTCCCTGAGGGTAGAAATCAACTCTAATTGGTTAATAATCAATGAGGGGGTGGACGTAATAATGAGGAGGTGGGCAAAAAGTCTTCAATTTCTAATGGAGGTTTTTACCCAGAATCTGGAGGCCCCCTTGCTGGAGATCATAGTATCATACAGATAGAGCTCAAAAAGACCTCAGGGGTCATCTAGTTCAAACCTCTCATTTTACAGATGAGGAAATTCAGGCCTAGGGAGGTTAAGTGACTTGCCTGAGGTCATACATGTCAAGGTACATGTCAGAGGCAGGATTTGAACCCCACATTCTTTGACTCCAAGGTCAGTCTCTTTCCACTGTATTACCCTATTGTATTGTAGACAGGTTTCCTGTTCAGATGAAGCTTAGACTAAATGACTTCTAAGGTCCCTTTCAACTCTGAGATTCTGTGATTCTAAGTATTCCTTAAAATTAGTCCACTGGTGTTTCCTTCTCAATGTTCACATGTGCTTACTTTATTTTTTATCTTGAGAACCAGCTGCACATTTTGCCATAGAACTTAGGCTGCAAAGTGATTCCAGTGGATAGCGTATGTTGGTATTTATTCCCTATTTATTCAAAAAATAGAAGTGGGCCATCCTATGGAATAACCTGCCTGGGGTATGTATTACCTCCCCTAAAGTCCTCTTTCAATGCCTGACAGTGATGCAGAGATGACCCTTGTGTTCTTGAGGGCTATGCCAGTGGAGGACATATTCCGGCAGGTCCTAATAACCTGGGAATTATTGGTATTACTGCAGAAGGCAAAACGACCCTTCCAGTCCCTCAGGCTCACAACCTAAGAGTCATCCTGGACTCCTCATCATCTCTCACCCCCCACATCCAAGCTGTTACCAAGCCTGGTGATTTCACCTTTGCAACATCTCTCCAATAAGCCCCCTTCTCTCCTCTGACCCTGTCACCACTCCGGTGCAGGCCTTCACTACCTCATACCTGGACTATTGCAATAACTGGCTGGGTCTGCCTGCCTCAAGTCTCCCACTGCTTCAATCCGTCCTCCATTCAGCCACTTGAGTGATTTTCCTAATGTGCAGGTCCAACCACGTCAACTCCCAACCTCAGTCACTCACACATTCAGTAAACTCGAGTGGCTTCCTGTTGTCTCTAGGATTAAATACAACAATCCATGAGCAGTAGGAGCTGTTCCACTGGGGACCCAACTGTCTAGTTCTAGTTGGGCAATGCAGCTCCTTCCTTCCTTCCTTCCTTCACTCCTTCCCTTCTCTCCCTCCCTGCTTTCTTCTCTCCCTCTGTCCACATAGGGTAGCATACACTTACCTGCAAGTGCTCTGCTCAAAGAAATATAAATTTTGAGTGAAGAAACCTTGCAAGATATCTTGGAGTTTAGGGGCTAGATTTCTTTTTTTAAGGACCGTGACTTAAACCTAAATCACTCTAACTCTCACTGATGGGCCAACAATAGGTCCCAGCCCAAGCCTACCTTGCTTAGAGTTTGGGTTCTGATGGCTCAGAGTGAATGTAAATAGCAGTTGTTTCTGTTTTGGCCAGAAACCCTAAGGGTCTTCCTCTCCTAGATTGATTTTTTTTTTTGACTAGGTAAAAGAGGCCATTTTTTGCCTCTTTTCTTACCAAGACTTAATCACTGAATGGGTGTTGCCTCAGACAAACTGAGATCTGGGAAAGACCTTATCTTAAAAAGGCCAAGGTCTCTGCTGCATCAAGGCATCTCCAGTCATCCTGGCCACTGGACCCAGATGGCTCTGGAGGAGAAAGTGATTCTGGTGACTTTGCACAGCCCTGCCTCACTTAAATCCGATTCACTGGCATCACCTCCCTGATGTCATGGGGTCCTCCTTGAGAACGAAGGACAAACAATAACCACCCTAGTTGCTATTCCATAGTTACACAATGTTTCAGAATAGCATTTTTATCTACCTTTGTCTTCCACTCAGGCCATGAAGAATGCCCTTTAGAAAGAGGAAAACAGCGGCCAAGCTTCAGCAGAGCCTCCGCCTAACTCATTTCTCACTCCATCCACATTAGCCAGCACAGACAGGATCGTTCACATTTTGAGATCAGTTTAAGCCCGCCAAAGCTCTCCTCTCACAACAACCAGGCAAGGCAGGTGTTCTACTCCCCATTTTACAAATGAGGAAGTTGATGCTCTGGTTTGAAGTGATTTGCCCGTGATCGCATTCAGTTCTAGTCAACAAATGTTTATTAAGCACCTACTATGTGCAAGGCCCTGCATACAACTCTAGGGACACAAAGTCAAAAATGAAAAAGAAGCTGCCCTTAAGGAGTTTATATCATACTGGTGATAGCGGGGTAGCCCAACCTGGAGTCAGGAAGACCTGAGTTCAAATCCAGCCTCTGTGTGAGTCACCTGGACAAGTCATGTCACTTCTGTCAGCCTTTGTTACTTCTGCCAGCCTTTGTTTCCTCATCTGTAAAATGGACATAATAATAGTACCTAGGTCAAAAGATTGTTGTGAGGATCAAAGGAGATAATAATTATAAAGCACTTAGCACAGTGCCTGGCACACAGCAATCACTATACAAATGACAGCTATTATTATTTGCACAAATAAGTTCAATACAGTATAGGAATTCAAGTAGGCAAGGGGAGAGATCAGAGGTGGCTAGAAGCAGCAGAGCCCATACTTGAATCTAAGTCTTTTTTTTTTTCCCGAGGCAACCCAGGTTGAGGGACTTGCCCAGGGTCACACAAGTAGTAAGCATTTGAGACTGGACTGGAACTCAGGTCTTCCTGACTCCAGGTATGGCTCTTCATCCGCTGTGCCACCCAGAAGTTCCACCTAAGTCTTTTAACTCTGTGAGGGATGAGCGAAGTCTACTCAAGGGTTAAGGAAGAGGGGGGACAAACGACTTGAAATCTACATTAACATTTGCTTGTTGAGCAAAAGTTTTTGCCTTTGCCCCCGGTGGCATCCCAGCACATCCTGCTATCTAAGTTGCAGGCATCCTTCTCTGCTTGACCTTTTTCCCCTTTAGCACCCTGACTTTGTAAGTGGTTGTTAAAAGAATGTTGTAAAACTCTGTATCTGGATAAAGCAGGCAGAATTCTGTTGCTCCTAGACAGATCCTTTAGAATAGATTGTGCACCCTACTTACTGACCAATCAGGAGTAGGGGAAGTGTAGGTAAGGGAAGAGGTGCAGGGTCTCAAAACTGTATATAGTCTTTGTTCTTGTCCACCCTCCTCCACTTGCTATTCTGAGTGACGTGGAGGCTGAGTCCTTTCTCGCGAGAAAGCAAATAAAACTTTTCTCTGCTTTTCTAAAACAGTCTCCGATCTCAACTACAGTGGTGTTGCACATGACTCCAAGTTTTGGAAACTTTCCATTAAATCATACTCATTATAGTACAATCAATTAATATTTTAATAACATAAAAATATTTATTAAGTGCCTACATCCAGGGCCCTATGCTATGTTCTGAAATTACTAATCTAGCTCTTTCCACTGCTGGGAGGGAATATCTCATAGTTTACAAGATTAAGGAAAATTAACTATGACTTTTTTGTACTTTCAGGTTTTTATACAATGAGGAGACCTCTGGGGAGTTGGTGGACAGCCATTTTCTTTGCCTTACTCATTAGTGATCTCTCCTTGGTCAAGGCCAAAGGTACAAGGCAGAGGAACAAGTCAAATAGAAAAAGCCTGCAAACCAATCGGGCTAACCCAACCACAGCCCAGCCACCCAAGAGACTTCAGGGGGCTTTCATCAGGCAAGGCAGAAAGCTTTCCATTGACTTTGGGGAGGAGGGCAATAGCTACTATGAGGCCCATTACCAACTGTTCCCTGACGAAATCCATTATGTCGGGTGTGCTGAGTCCAATGTAACAAAGGCTATCTTCATCAGCAACTGTGTGAATGCCACCCACACAGCCAACAAGCTGGAGCCTCTAGAGGAAAAAGACGCAACTGATATTCACTTGAGGGTGATGGAGCAATTAATAATGGAATTATGTGCCCTCAAGCATTGTGAATTTGGGACAGAGACAGGAGCTGGCCTTAAGGTCTCTTTAGACCAATCTGTTATGATCTACCTGGTGATTCTGGCTTGCTTTATAGTGAAATAAGCAAGCTCAAAGCCTGACAAGGAAAGATAATAAGCAAGGCAGCCACAAAGACCAAGTTATCCTGGACCCCCTTCCTGCTCTCACAAACCTATCCCTCCCTTAAAAAAACAAAACAAAACAAAAACAAAACAACCAAAAAAAACAAAAACAAAAACAAAAAATAAAAAACTACCAAAATAGTAGTGAGTGTTGGCATGTCATAGGCAATATTCATTCCATCCTTAACATATTCCATCCTCTCCACTCTAATGTCCTTCAGGATGCTTTCCTACTACAGAGGTGATTCTGGGTCCTCAAAGGCTAGGCCAGCAGAATCCAAGATCCGTCAGGTTTTACCAAGATGAAAAGAATTCAAGCATTGACTCAGTAACAGGTTGTGTCCATATCCAAGGACCAGCCTGGCTTAGTCTAAAGAGTCTCATTGCCAGAAGGCTGGCCACCACATGATAACTCCTTTTGGTCACAGAAACTATTGAAGGCTGCCAGCATGGTCTCGAGGTGCTGCAGTCTGCCTCAGAAGGAGATTCAATAAAAGCGTAGGTCTATTGTAATATCAAATATACGCCTAACTCCAAAATGATGGCTTGGGAGCCCTTTTAGAGAGACTTTGTTCTATCTGCCCTGGACCAATCCCATTTACCACTGGAGAAGGATGTTCGTGAGAATGACTGGGAAGAAACCGCAGTGCTTTTAAAGAGACACTAATAAGTACTACTTTTATTTAATCTGGAATAAGATCATAGACAGTGCCATAGTTTAAAAATGTCAGTACCACAAGAGACTACCCCACGGACTCTTAGTGGTTCACAAACCACATATTGAGGAAATCCAAAATATCAATTGTGCTTTAAAGTAAGTCTATTATAAAGAGCATGCATAGGTACACAGCCATGGTTATTTTTCTGGTATGATTTGCCCACTGTTTGCAGTGTTCTTACCAGGGACAAACCGGAGAAGCACTTAACGGTGGTGGCAGCTCACTCTTCCATACCCCTCACTCTTTCTCATGTTTTTATAGCATCTAGAGTGACATCTGACTAAGAGGATATGAGGACAGGTAGCCACACAAAAAGACAATCTCCAGTCTCCTGTATGCTTGGTGCACTGACGAAAGTGATTGTGTTCACTATTAACAGCCTAATCACACAGTTCATCACCAGAAACAGATTGCATAGTCACTACATTCTGCGTCCAATGCTTCTGTCTAATCCAAGGGTGCAGCTGACCGCTAAGTCTGATGGCAAAAGAGCCTCCGTGCACCGACAGCCACTAGCAGACAGCATCTAAGTTCTCTTGACTCATTTTGGTGCTCCAATTTATCATTATATTTCTGACAAAGAAATGAGCATTCATGGTCTGTGGCTGGGATTTCGAGTTCTGGATGTCTCAGTCTAGTGCTCACCACTGGGAGAACTGGTCTTTGGAGAAGAAATAATGACTTTTAAAAAAATTATCTCTAAGTGGTTGTGACAGTGAATAGTTTCAAGAACCCTTGTACAGTATATTTTCTGAACTTGCTGCCTACTCTCATTCTAAAAACAGTAGCTTAGAAACCAGACCTTAGAAGGGCAACAGATTTAACTTGCATATCATGCATTTTATGGCAGAAGATAGTTATTTCTTCAACTTTGGGCCAGTTGTTTACAATGGTTTCTCCACATGTTCTATGTACTTCACATTCTATGAAGATTAGATTCCAATAAAGATCTCAAGACTCTTTCCTGTAGAGTTCCTGGAGTCATTCTTTGTGGATTTATTGTTGAAAGTGACTAACTTCAGCTTTCCTGGCCTTCTTGTCTCCTTGTTGTGTTGACTGTTTACACAACCCTCCATCAAAGTCCTCCTCTGATGCCTCCCTCTTCCTGAGGCAGAGGTGACCCTGGATTCTCAAAGGCTCTTTCAGTGGAATCTAAATTCAGCAGATCCCCTGAAGCTAGAAACTCTTCCAGTACAGGCCGGGTGGCAGACTGTGTCTGTCATGAGAGGCCCAGTGTAGCTGAGTTCAGGGAAGTTCACTGGAAAGGGCTGACCATTAACTGGTGAAATGTGATGAGTTTTGTACCTGTGGGGGTAGTGAGATCACTTGGTAAAACTTGAAGGGCTATCAAAATGAGAATTATTGTTTTCAGGAATAGCCCTGAAGGGGGAAAGGATGGGAGAAGATGTTAAAATATGTCAAGTACAGTTGAAGGAATGATACTTTATGGGTGAAGGGAAGGGCAATCCCACTACTTTTGCCTTATTAAGGTGTGTGGAAAGTTATGGGTTGGTTGTGTGTATGAGAGTCTCAGTTCTTCTCCTCCTTCTCCTTCTCTTTCTTCTTCCCAGCTGGGAAAGTCACCTTGTTTCTCTGACCCACTAACCAGATACAACTTCCTTGGAAGAGTGTGGGAATGGGAGTGGAAGCCAATCTCTTTGATTCAATGTGCCTTTAAGATAACCCTGAACACTGTATGATAATAAATTTCAAGCTGGAAAAAACCTTAAACATCACTGACACCTTTATTTTATAGATGAGGAAACAGACCCAGGTTCAATAAGTAACTTACTTAGGGTCACATAGGGACTTAAATACTAGGATATGAACCCAAACATCTTCTACTCTACAATCCCTCCTTGCCACTCTACTACATCTTGGACTCTCATTTTCAATTAAATACAGAAGTCAGCGTTACTATACCCATAGCCCAGCTTTTGATCATTGTTTTTCTCAAATCCTGTAGTGGAAAGAGGACTACACTTGGAGTAGAAGACTGGATTCATACCCTTGCTTTCTCACTTACTGTGTGACCAGGGCCAAATACATCACTTCCTTTAGTCTCAGACTCCACATCTGTGAAATGGGGGCATGAATATTTGGCTATCTTGCAGAATAATTGTGAATAAAGTACTTGTAAACTATAAAGTACCCTAGAAGTGTAAACCATTGTTTGCAACATATCCGAGATACAGGTAAGGCCCTGTAATAATTACAAAGTGTTTATCTTGACTCTGTTACCATTACCACCACCTCCATACCTGTAAGCAGACAGTGGTTAACTCTGTTCATTCCTTTCAGCCCCTGAACTTTTATGGTTGACTTAAATACTTAAATGGATCCATAATGCTATTGATTTGGAAGTTCCTTCCAAAGATGCAGACCATAACCATGACATAAGACTCTTGTCAACTCTGTTTACACTCTTGCCTATAAATCAACTGTAAGCTGGCTAATGAATATAATCACAGAATGCTCTCAGAAGTTTGTTATCATTACTCTGCCATCTGCCCACATGCAGGCCTCTCAGGAGAGGCTGGACGCATCTCCCTCTTTTCACAGATTGACCAGACTCCGCAATCTCTACCCATGGTATTAGCGTTGATGAAGAAACAAGGGTTTGTGGCCACTGATTTCTTTTAAATAAAAGGAAACAGATAACCCATTAACAGGAGGGAAAGCAAAAGGGCAAATGGGCACAGTTTGTTGGCTACAACAGTGGCCAGTGCCAAGTGCTTTTGACTACAGAAGCAGAAAATTACTTTTTCTGCTTGGATTCCTTCTCTCTTGTGGGAAGAATGGAGAGATAAGCCTCAGAGGAATTGCTCCCTTAAAAGCACAGCATCTTTCCTCACCTCAGATGAAGAGGAGGAGGGTAATGTCTCTGAGGGGTGCTTGGATTATTTCACCAACCATTGTCCTTAATCAATGCAACAAACACCTTCATCGGCCTCAGCCCCTGCAGTTCAGCTGTTTGTTATCATCTTTCTAAAGGGAAAAGCTACATCTGAGCATTTGCCGTCTCCTTACATGGTGCCAAGGTGGAGAACACCATATAATCATCTTTACTTCTCTCTTTCCAGTCTTTCTCCCAGAATTCTCCAAGCAAACTCTCTCAGTCTCCCAGTTCTACATCAGTGATGATGCATTCTGGGAAAGTATCACATACCTCCTTGGCAATTCCAATGCAAATTTATACATGTTACATATTAACATTTGTATTACTACAGGAATGGCTTAGAGATGTCTATGGTGAACATTACGAATGGGGAATACAATTTTCCAAACTTGACTTGTTCCAGTGTTGCTCAAAGCCAAATATTGTCGAGTCTTGCCTCACAGTCCCATGTAAATAGGAGTTTCCCAGTGGGCAGTTTATGTGCTCAATTTTTATAGGCAATTAATGCCAAGAACCACAGTTCATTTAACAACATGTTCTGTAAGATTCAGAAACGTGCTTTCAATTAATGGAGAACTGACTTGTGGTCTCTTCCCCTACATTAGCTTGCACATGCACATCCAGGGAGAACATTCTCATGGGTGCTTCTCCTTTCCTTCAGGGTGAGAGCCAGTGGAAATGCTACCCAAGGTATGCCTGCATACCTGCCCAAACATGTGTATCTGTGGTCCCCTAAAACCTTGCCCAAATAAAAGGCCTAATTTACTCCTCACCCCACTGGGAATGAGGCCATAAATGTTGAATTCCCTCCTAACCACCAACAAGTTTTCCCTTCAGATGGCTAAACCTCAGTAAAGATGGAAGCTCCCAGTTAGGAGGGGGAAAAAACCCACAAGGCTTTCTAGTCCTTATCTGGTTGTTTGGGGCTTTAGGACTTTTCTGCCATGCCCCAGAAAGCTCATTATTGGGAAAACTTCATCATCCTGCAAGATTCCATCACCACTGGTACTCCATCTTATCAATACCCCTCTGATTGGAGGTTGGGGCTATAAACTCCAAACCTTCCATTTAAAAAAGGAATTGAGCTCAGATCTCATTTCTTACCTGACCGCACTACTTTGGGACTTCTCTACTATGCTCCCACTTCCCTTTCCAACTTTCTTTTCTGCGTTGTCTTCCCCAATTTGATTGTAAGCTCCCTGAGGGCAGGGACTGGTTTTTATTTCTAAATTTCTATCCCCAGCACTTAGTGCAGGACTTAATAAATATTTATTGATGGAGTGAATGAATTCATCTTCAAAATATAAAGTCCATCTATCTCTCCCTGAATTGCTACCCTTTTTGTTCCCCTGAAGCAGAAAGGACTTTTGATATCACCTAGTCCTATCTCCTTATTCCACAGATGAGGCCCCAAAAGGCAACATGCCCTGCCCAAAGTCACAATAGTAGTCAGTAGCAGAGTCACAGATTCAAACCTAGGTATCTATACTCCACATTCAATATGCATTCTACTGCACCACGTGAAAGCAGTCTCAGGCCTCCAGGAGCATTACCTGACATAAGCTCAGCAGTGTGTTTCCTAAATAAAGCTATCAGAGTAGGAGGTTGTGAGCTTGAGGCTGATGCCATGAATCCACTTAAAATTCCAGCTCTGTAGTATCTTTACTGTGCAGCAGGACCCATAGAAGCATAGCCCTTGATATCTCTCTATTCAATAGACCAAAAAAACCTGAGTTATAGATTCAGAGCTATAGCTAGGAATTCTATACACCCAAGGTCTTAGAAATAGTGAGGGAGCGATGTTCAACTGAAGCTCCAAATAGAGTGCAGATGCCCCAAATTGAGCAAAGATCGTAAACACCTGAGTGATAAAACCCTGCTGTAGTGTGCTCATAAATGTTTAACAACTGGCTCTCTGGCGGAAAAAAAGTATCCACAATATACTTTTAAGTTTAATTTGCATTATTAACATTTTCTCCAGTACTTTCTTAAGTCTAGACAATCAACAAAACAATAATAAAGCAAGCCCTGGTTTGTTGTCTTTGCCAATTTCCGGGGCAATTCCTAGTATGCTCATACAGATAATCTAACAATTAGCTCTCAAGAGCTGGTTCCAGCGTAGCTCTGGCCCTGTCCAAATGGAAACATACCCATAAGCTGGAGACCAACAGAAGAGTCTAGATTCCTATCCTCCTGCCCTAACAGTCCACACCAATGATGTTTTCAATGAACCTTCTAGTTGCAACTTTAGCATTTAAAGAAAATATCACTACTAATAGGGCATTTCCAAATGGCAACCTAAGATTCAAAGAAACATAGAAGCTCTAAGTGTGAAGGAACCTCAGTGTCATCCATGCCCTCATACTCGCTCACACTCTGGCTTTGGGTTCACACCTTATACCCCACACTCCAGGTGCTCTCTTTTCCCAGCCTTGAATACTGAGGGCTCAAAACTGTGTCATTCACTTATATCATCAGGGCTTTGTTGTTGCTGATCTGAGATACTGGAATATCCCATGAGGAGGTCACTGAATCTAACCAGCAAGAGGAAGAGAGAACTAGGATTAAAGGCTGTAAGATCCTATTGTGTCTTGTACAATAACAGCCGAATCATGAGCTTCTGAGCTCCTCCCTGTTTCTATTTCACAGGGAAAGGGAGCGCTAGGGTAATGTGAATTATTCATGGGCCATCGGGACAGTTATCCTCCTCTAAGTACACTCCAGTTCATCACTGGAGTTCCCTAACTGAATAGGATATTCTCGATGTAGGTTGACCAGCCATGCGATCCATCCCTCTCTCATTCTTCCTCTTAATTCTTCCTCTCTTAATTCAGCCCAGGTTTTTTTCATATGAACTTTAGACACAACATCTGGGAAAGTTCCCCTCAAACAAAATCATGTGAAATAAATATATTCTTGCCATCAGTTTACTTCCCATTGATACAACATAATAACTCCTTACGTTTCTCTTATTTTTCATAATTTACAAAGCAAGTTCATGTACATTGTTTCACTGAATGCTCGTAACAACCTTAGGAAGCATTTCTAAAT